GGAGGCCCCGAGGAGGCGGAGGACTAAGTGAGCTGAAGGACCCTGCTCAGACCTCGTGCAGAGGAGGCTCACTGCCCCGCCCCGTGCTTTTGTTCCTGGTTTTGCCCGGCCCACGCGGCGTGGTTAGCCCACTCCTGGCCCCAGAACAGCCCTGGAGAGGCTCCGGCACAGGGCTCAGGGGGATGAGCCTGGACTCCCTCCACCCCTCCCCTCACAGCCCTTGACCTTGGACAAGGCCTTCAGCTCTGAACCTCACTTGTCCTCTCACTGCAGAATGGCAGTAGGACCGGTGTCCACCTCCTGGGGTTGCTGTAAAGTTTTGAGGCTGCCTTTCCCAGGCAGAGAGAGGGGGACCCCTTACACTCAAAGGCCCCTGCCCGAAATCCCACTTCCCTTCCTGTGGGAGGCCAGGTAACTGTCGGCAAACGTTCTTCGTGGTGAGGGCGAGTCGCCAGTTGTCCATTAATTAGAATAGCACTTGTATATATCTTTATACATCTTTAATTCATCAGTTAAAAAATGACCCCCCCCCCGGAAGGTCCGAGCTCCTGGGAAGGCAAGACCCGATGGGAAGAGGGGTAACTCGGCCCTGGGGAGCCTGCTCCGCACGTTGGCCTCGTATTCCTCCCGGTGAGAAGGGCGGGGGCAGCAGACATTTTTAATTTCAAGTGCTGGTGCACCTTTAATGCAGGCTTATGGGTTTAAGCATTTTCCAATAATTTAGGAGTTTAGAGAGGGTGAAATAAAAACCACCCACCCCTCCCCCTCCCAGGAACTTTCCTGCTACCTGCTTGGGTATTTTCTCCCAAACTTGTCCGTGCACGGCAAACGTGGAAATGCAGGTTTGGGTTTTTTGTTTTTAACAGATATGGGAACACAGTTGCCCTTTTTACTTAATGTACTGTGGACACCTTCTCTTATCAAAAATGCCGAGGTAGAAAGGATTGCCTCGTTGTATTGTTCTTTGCCAGGCTTGGAGAGGTAAGGTGTTTAGCTGCAGGTCTCGCACTGGTGAGTGGCAGAGCCAGGACCGGGGCCCAAGTCCGTCTGAATCTGGGGTCTCAGCCCTTTCTGCTGTGCTGAGATACTGTCGTTGGTCATTCTTAGCATCTCCCCAGGACCAGGTAAGAGGCACTTCCTTCTAGAGGCAGAGAGCTGAGAGGAGCAGCCCTTTCCAGGGGCAGGAGGTGAGAGGACAGGGTGACCGTGGGGCTCGTCCACGGAGGGGGCCCCCAGCGGGGGGACACGCAGCTGCCGGGGGGGCCTCTGCCAGCCCGCATCCTCCCCTTCCTGACGACATCCTGCTTCGCTGTCTGCCTGAGCCCGCCTGAGCTCTGAGCGCCCCCGCCCGCCCCCGCAGCTGGTGCTGGCTGGCATGCAGCTTCCCTGCCGTCTCACCCATGGCTCAGTCCCACACGAGGCACCGTGGACAGCATTTGCCTGCCTGTCTTCCTGTGCAGGCCCGGGGGCATCAGGTGTGTCCTCTCGCTGTTGGAGGCTGGGTTCCGTGAAGCACTGCAGCAGGTGGTTGTTCAACTCCGGCGTGCATGACTGCAGAGATGGCTAGCTCATGACCTTATGAGGAAGCTGGTTCCGTCCTGGATGGCTACAGTGGGTGGGTGGGCTAGCGGGATGAGCTTGGGCCTGCGGGGCAGACCCAGGTACTCGGGGGAGGATAGGAGGGATGATGAATGTAAAGTCTCTTCCAGTTGTATGGGGGGTGGGAGGGCTGCGGGAGCCTCAGTTTCCCCTCCTGGCCTCCTTGGGCTCAGTGTCGATCTAACTGTGGGCCATAAACCATTAGTAAACCATGACATTAATTCGGTGGGCTGCGACCAGCATTTCACAAACGGGATAGAACAGAATAGGACAGAAAATGTCAGCACGCATCTCAAGCAGTTAAGGTTTAAGACTTGTTTCCTGACACTTCTGCCGTCGGCGTGGGGTTAGCACACTCGTTCGGTGGGCACAGAAGGGCCGGAGCAGGCCTGGTGGGGGCCGGAGCCTCCAGAGGCACTGAGGGTGGCCTGGAGGGGCTCCTGGGCTCAGGCACCTCTTCCTGCCCCTCCGGCACCAAGCAGGGGCCCCAGGGGCGGTGGGAACAGGAACATCCTCTCCCCTCGCCCCGGTGCATCCAGTGGGCCCTGAGCAGTCCCATAAATCGTCTGCCCGGAGTCAGGGGCATAGAACTCCCTGATTTATGCCTTGCCCGGCCGCCCCCTTTGCCTCCCTTCTGGCTTTTGTGGGGCCAAGGCCTGGCAGGCTGCTGGCTCCAGACAGCCCCGCGGTTGCCGTGGCGACCAGTTCAGGCTGGGCCATTATCCCAGCTCCTGCCTCTCTGTCTGCTCTCATCAGGGCTGGCTCTTTAACAGCACCAATGGGGCTCTCCTCCCCAAGCCTGGCCTCTCCCTTCGGGGTGCCCCTTGTCCAGTGGGGCCCACGCATGGGTGTCACAGTGAAGCACATATTGGCTTCATGCCGAGATGGGGCAGTGTGGGGTGCTGGGTGACCGCCTGGCCTTCGGATCTGGCAGTCAGGATTTGAATCCGGCTCCTCCACTTCAGGCCTGCCAACCACAGTATCTGCCTCATGCCCTTGTCAAGAATCATCCAGAGTCTACGGGGAAAGTGCTGGCCCTTTTCCTGGCGCTGAAATCTTTGCAAGTCTCATCTGTAAAGTGGGCGTGACTACCCCCCACTCACTGCTCTCTCCAAGAGCCTGCGACAGCATCCGATGGAGTATGCTCTATGCACGTGAGCAAATAACTGAGCCTCACAGGTTGTTGTAAAGATTCTTAAGAGAGAGCATCAGTGTGTGGCACAGAGATGGTCACGAATCCTCTGACACTCCTCACATTGGGGTGTGGGGGTTTGGTTTTCCTCCTCTGGAGTCTGGACTGGCCTCAGTGTTTGCTTGTAACCGACAGAACGTGGCAGGAGCAAGGCTGCTGGCCCTCGGGAGACCTGCTGTTTCCACCTGGTCTCAAGGACCCCCTTGCCATTCCGTAGGAGTCTGACGATCCTGAGCACACCATGCTGGGCAGACCGCATGGAAAGGCCCCGGTCCCCCACGAAGAGAGTGGGAGACGCCCAGCCAGCCCCCTCTCCCCCCGCCCCAGGTGCTGGAATCATCCCCGTGGAGACAGAGATGAGCTGCCCCCACCGGGCCCTGCCCAAATTGCAGGTTCATGAGCAAAATAAATAACTGTCATCATTTTTAGCCACCAAGTTTGGGGTTGATTTGTTCTGCAACGTGGATTTCTTAGAACAAACTGTAAAGCCCAGCTGCATGCCTAGCACGGAAGAAGCGCTCAGTGCAGTGGGGAAGTGGTGGCCGCTGTTGCTGCTGTTGCCGGGGAGCAAAACTGCCGACTTACTCGGAACTGAGGCTCCGGAGGCAGCTGCCTGCATCTGAAGTTCTGCTAACTGCAGCCCTGGACAGTTTCTGTCCCTCTCCAGGCCTCAGTTTCTTTATCTGCACAAATGCAATAATGACCTTTTGTAGGGTTACCATGGAGAGGAGGTTGACGAGATGTGCATGCGAAGCAGTGCGCACAGGGCGCCAGGCACAGAGCGGGTCCTGGTCTGGGACAGCCACCGCCACCAGCCTCAGCTCCAGCGCCTCAATCTCCAACGTAACTTGGAAGTGCGCTCTCCCAGGAGGGTCAGAGCTGGGAGGAGCGAGGCCGTGGTGTGCCACCCGCCACCACACAGGCGGGGTTGGGTTACTGGTGGAGGCTGTGAGTTATGACATCCTTATCTTTCTTTTAGGAGCTCTGGGTGGCCCATCTGAAACCAAATAATTAAGAACTATGACACTGGAGGAGGAGCGGGGGAGGGGGTAAGATTTGCCTAGTGGAGCTCACCTACATCTTGCTTCTAGAAACAGCCCAGAGGGTTGGCTCCTCACGGACTGCTAAATTCTGTGAGCTCCTGGGGGTCGGGGTGGGGTAGAAAGTCTTCCACATTTTTGGGGTGTCGGACACTCTCAGGATCTTCCAGGTCAGCTGACCCGTCCTCTCATTGCACATATGAGGATCCAGAGAGGGACAGTGACTTGCCCAAGGTCACACAGCAGGTCAGAGCCAGAGCTGGAACCAGAATCCAGGGCTCTTGCCTGGAGATTTCCAGGCTGCTTCCAGCCACGGAAGCAACACAGTTTGGAGGGGACTTGACTTACAAAGCTTTCAGGACTGGTTTTGCCCTCTCCCTCCCTGCCTACTGTGGACTTCCTTGCATTAAAATTCTCATCGTGGGAGTCCCAGCTATCATTCATTTCTTTCCAAATGGAATGTTAGCACGTGACAAGGAGCTTCTGGGGAAGATGATGCGAGCTATCTGTAAGCCCATCTCCAGCCCCAGCTTGAGCAGAATTGGGTGGTCTTCTCAGCCCCCTCCAGCAGAAAGGAAAGCAGAGGCTCAGAACAGGGGAAGGAGGCTCTGTGTGCTCACCTGAGACTCCACCTCGCGCTCTCCTCCCCAGACGACCGGCAGACAGCCGTCCGCGTGGTGCACTTGAGGGCTCTCGGGAGGCTGGAAGCTCCCTGGCTCAAAGACTGTCTTCTCCACCACGTCCTACCATGACTGCAAATCCACCTTTGGAGTTACCTGCTTCTGAGTGGGAAAGTGTTCGTGAAGACACTCTGGTCCCCATGCTGTTGAGCTGACCAGCGATGGGGTCCAGTGGAAACAACACAGGATTTGAAATCGATGAATCTGGCTTTGCCACTCACTGCCTGTGTGACTTTGAGTGAGTCATTTTACCTTCCTGAGCCTCGGTTTCTTCATCTATGAAATGGGGTCATAAATGGCTCCACCCCACCCCATGAAGGTGAAATGCAATGTTCTACTTGTCTGTTGCTACATAGCAAACCACTCAGAAAGCTTAATGGCTTAAAACACAACGATCCTTTGTTTGGCTCATGGATTTGTGACCTGGGCAGGGACAGCTGGTCACGGCTCCATACAGTGTCCGCTCGTTGATGGGGGCTGGGGATCTCCTTCCAGGATGAAGCACTCACGTGACTGGTGGTCAGTTTCTCCCCATGTGGACCTCTGCAGTGGGCAGCTTGGGTTTCCTCAAACCATGGAGGCTGGGTTCCAAGAGAAAGGACGTTGGTTTGGGCCTAGAAAGTGATAGAGTAACACTTCCATTGTATTCTGGTGACTAAGTAGTCACTGAGCCCAGATGCAAAGAGAAGGGACATAGGGAATAGCATTCACCACAGTCGCAATTAATATAGTTATTTCTGTCATTATTTTTTGACATCTGCTTCCCTTCCCCTCCCCCCACTAGAGTGCCTCGTTCATTGTTGGATCCGCAGAACCTAGAACAGGGCCTGGAAGATCGCAGGCTTTCGATAAATAGTATTATGTATGCAGATAAGCGAATGAACTGAGGCTTCCCCCGGATCACACTCCAACCCTGGATCCCGGCTGCTCGGGCTGGGGCGAGGGTTACAGAAGGAGCCCTGGCTCCAGCGTCCGGAGCCTGGGTTTGGGCCCTGGCTCTGGCCGCAGGGTGCTAGGTGACCTTGGGCTAGTCACAAACCTCTCTGTGGGTGTCAGCAAAAGCTAATAAAACCAGACCCTGGCTTTTCAACTTATGTCATCAAAAACCCCACATAAGACTTGCTTTAATTAAGATAAGAGCACAGCATAATGTTTGGACTTGCTGTTCATTCTTTGATGTTTGGCCTTTTCTGTTGTGTTTGATGTCCAGGGACTTGGAGAACTGGACTTGGGTTCTTGGCCCTTGCTGGCCGGCTGCCTGCCGTCTGCTGTTTGCCTCGTTAAGAGCACTTATGATCTAATAAAGCAAGATGGATGCGGCCTCCCTGGGGACAGAACACTCTCCATCCCCCGCAGTCACTGCACTTCTTGGCGGCACTCAGGGCTGATGTTTACTGAGCACCAACTAAATGCTGGGCCTGCGCTCCGTTTCATCCAACCCTCAGAACGACGCGTGGGGTGCTGCCACGGCCCCCGCGCTAGACAGAGGAAACAGAGGCACAGAGACGTGTTGAAAGGCACTGGGAAGCAAGTATGTGAGTAGGGGAGCTGGGGTGTGGACCCAACTTGGCCTCCGGTGGCTCCTGGTGGCCCCGGCTTGGATGGGAAGCCAGCAGGGAGCCTAGCCGTGTGCAGAAGAGGAAGCAGGTGGCTCTCGCTCTCTAGGTTTGCTCAGTGCCGGTGCTGGACACCAGACAGACAAGGTGCTGTTTCTATGACCTCCCATGGTACACGTGGGAAAACTGAGGCTTATAAAGGTCGCACAAAGGGAACTGGTTTCGGGAAAGGACGATCGCTGGGAAAAAGGAGGCGGGGCCTTGGCACCCTCCGTCCCTCTGCCTAGGTTAAGTCAGGCAAGACGGGAGCCTTTGCTAGTCTCATGTGTGAGATTCCGGCTGGCCTGATTTGGGCCTCTTCCTGTCCAGCGCAGACAGGGGAAGGCTGTGACCATGCCTCCGTGCAGGAGACAGTTCTGAGTGGAGTAGTCCTCAGGACGGTGAAATGTGGGAAATCACCCACGTCCCTGGTTCCCAAAGTGGAACCAGGAGGCGCTGATGGGGGGAGGGGCTGCTGAGGCCATTAGTACCCCTTCCTGGTGCTCAGCTGAGCTTGTGGGTGCCCCCAGGCGTGCAAACAGCCCAGCAATGTCCCCTGCCTTTAGTCACTGTGGTGCCAGAAACCCCACCGTGAACAGCCTCTCCCAGAAAAAGCCGAGCTGAGCTGCGGAGAGGGAAGGAGCATCACTCACGAGGGCGCTTTCCGGGCAGTGCAGGCACTCTGGCTTTATTCTTGGGGAAATGGGAGAATCACCAACCTGAGAGGGTTGGAGCGCTCCTGGCACAGTGCCAGGCACTCCAGAGGGCAAAAGAGGCCTGTTCATTCTGAACTGCACATTCGCCCCGCAGACCCCGCCCCGCAGACCCCTGTACCTGGGCCTGCTGTAGAGCGACGTGTGGTGATCACTCACTGGAACCCAACTGTCCCCAGGCCTCAATGGCCTGCAGGCACCTATGAGGTCACATTGACATTAATACTCAGATGAAGAAGGTCCTTAACCCTCCCTCTCCCCCTAAAAGCCTCTCCCCACCCCTAATCATCAGGCCACCTCTAGCGCCTCCCAGGATGCCATGGGGCTCATGGTAAGGTGGGCATGGGGTGGGCTTAGGCCAACTCCAGTTCAGGGTTGGTCACCCAGGCCATACAGCAGACCTACCTAGGTTCCTGGGGGTCCATGGTCTCCATGACAATGGCTCGGACAGCTTCTTACTCCACCCTTTTCTCCATCAAGTCTCAAAATCCAGTGCTCGGACAGAAGACACACCTTTACCCTATTGCCCTCATCTCCCCATTCCTTGACCCCCAGTACCCAATTCTGAGGCTGGTGTCTTCCTAGTACTTGTGACAGCCAGGCCAGCCAGGGCCAGCGAGTCCCCTTTTTTCCATTCAGGCCAGACTGCCAGAACAGCCCAGAGGTCCTTATCACGCACAGCTATCTTCACTGTTTGCATAGCGCTCATTTCCCCTGCCTAGGAAAACATGTTTGCAAAACCAGATTTCCCCGGAAAGCCGGCAGGTTGAAAGGAAGGGAAGCAGTTTGAATTCTGAGAAGCAGGGGTCTGAAGTCAGGACCGGGCCTCTGGGATTGCTCCACTCTTCTGGGTCCCCACGACTGGTGGAAGCAGGGCCTGACCCCAAACTTCGGCTTCTGAGCAGCCCCTACACCACCCACGTCTATTCCAGAACCCACAGGCAGCTGCGGCCTACCGAGGCTGGGAGCTTTTCTCAGAGTCACACAGAGTGGAGACTCCCTCCTCTAGAACCTTCGGTGGCTCGCCTTTGCCGGCAGGGCAGGCCCACACGCAGCCTGGTGTTCAAGTTCTTCCTCTCCCCTCATGTGGCCCTTTAGTGCCAGTCACCCTAAATTCCTCACTGTCCCAAACAGGCCCCTCTCTGCCACAAGTACACCTCCCCTACCCACTTCTCTACCTGTCCAGCTCTCTCTTCCTCAAGGCCCCACTTAGACCCCGCCTCCTCCAGGAAGCTTCCTTGACTAGCCTTGCCCACAGGATGTCCCTCTCTAAGGGGCCCTAGCATTGTCGGGTCACTTCTCATCTGTCCCTACCCTCTCCCACCCATGGCCACCACTGGGTCCCAGCTGCCTTCTCAGTCACAGCCTGGCTCAGCCCCCTCAGGGCCGTTGTGAGCCACCAAGAAGAGACCCCAGGGTTTCCTCGGGGAAAAGAAATGATACCAACAGTGGCCACGGGCTGCCAAAGAGCCTCATCCTGGGGCTTTCTTGAAAAGTGACTCCTCCCGATATTAAAAGTGAATTAAATCATGTGTGCAGCACCACTGCATGCCAGGCTGCAGCCATTAACGAGGCGAGATCGACCGACCTGGGCCCCGTGGACAGCTGGCCCCGATGAGAAACGCAAAAGCTGCAGAAAGAAGTGTCCGTGTGATTGCACTGGCCTGAGCACTCGGTGTGCGCTACTTCCTCGGGCCCCCAGGGATGCGGGGCAGCCGGCACCATCGCTGCCCCGCTTTACAGACGTGCAAACTGAGGTCTGGAGGGGGGAGTCGCGCGCACGCTGCAGGCGAGGTCCCCCCTCCGCTGCGTAGCCTCTCTGTGTTCTCTGCTCTGTCCTGTGTTTGTGTACGTTCATTACCAGAGACACGGGAAAGCTGGCAAGGATGTTCCTCTGGGCCTCGGGTAGAGCAGGGTTGGAGAGTCTCTTCATTCCTCTTCTTACATTCTGTTGTTCGGTTATCACACATAATATGGATTAAAAGTAAGTTCGAAAATAGAAAAAGCAGTGCATATTCATTCAAGAAAACACAGAAAAGAGAAGAGAAAGGCCTCAGAAACCTGGTTTCTTGGAGTTGACAGGGAGCACACTCAGGGCCATGGGATTCTAGGAGGTTCACCACAGACATGGGTGAGAAACTGGGATTATTCCAGACCCCATGGCGTGAGCACGGGGAGCAGACCTCAGCTCAGTGTGGAAGGCACGTTGTGACTAACCGGAGGTGTCCCACCACGGATGTGGCAGCCTCATTGGGTGGTGAGCTGCCTATCAGTGGAGGCATGTAAGTTTATGCCAGATGCTGGATTAACACTGAGCTGTTTGCTAAATATCTCCTGTGAGTGAGTCTGATTCCCACCTCCCACTTTTACCCCGAGCTGGACAGTAAGAGAATGTGCCTGTGAGGACTGGTTGAAAATAACAAATAAAAACAAAGATTAAGAGCCTTGTACAGATACAGCTGTTTGCAGCTGGCAGACTCTCTCTGCATGCATGGCTTCGTGTGATTTCGGAACCCCCTGACATTACAGAAACATTTTATAGAGGAGACAAACAGGGGCTCAGAGGGGTATGCACTTGCCTAAGATCAGCCAGCTGGTCCCGAGTCCCCGACCCTGGCCTGGTGTGCCATGCCACGCCCATGCACAGCAATCGCTCATCTTCCTTGTAGTGTCCAGCACCCAGTAGGTGCTCAGGTCCTCCACAGAAGCGTGTGGGTTCTAGTCCAGCTCGGGCCCAATGTGCTGTGTGATGCCGAGCAGTCCCCTCCCTCTGGTGGTTTGACGTGTCCAGTTCTCTTCCAGCTCCGGTCTGTCTGCCACCCAGCTGGGCTCCTTGCTTTTCTGAGCTTGTCCCCTGACAGCAGGCCCCAAGGAGTCCTCATGAAGCAGGGGAAGGGAGGGCCCGTGGGGTGGTGGACACCCCGACGCTTGGACCCTTCCTTTATTCTGGGCAGATTTATAGGGGCGTGTTCCTGAACTCTCATTCACTGTCCACGGCCCAGCACATGTCTAAAAACAACAGATCCGATGAAAGAGATCTCTCCCGCAGATGAAAGCGGGAGGGAAGCCGGCCTCCCACAGCCCCGGCCTGCCGCACACTCTGGTCAAGGCCAAGTCAGGGCTGCAAGGTCTGGAGAGGCCCAGAGGAGGCGCCTGCCCACCCAAGGGTCTGGGGTTTTGAGGGGCCCTGGGTGCAAATCTTGGACGAGGGTCTGTGGGAGACAAAAGAACGTGGAGACCCAAGCCCCGTCCAGGGATTTGGCAGAACCTAAAGTCAGACAGGACGAGGATGAGTGATTGCCAGGCGCACCTCCGGCGCCGTCTGCCACTCTGCCCCCTCATTCTGCCCCAGCCGCTCTGGGCTCCTTCTCGTTTCTTAAAACTCAGCCAACACATCCCCTGCCCCAGGGTCTTTGCACAGGCTGCTGCTCACTGTCTAGAACACTCTTCTCCCCGCCCTTTACAAGACCTCTCATCTTCTGGGTCGCCAGTGAAATGTCACCTCCTCCAGGAGGCCTCCAATTAGTGTCCCAATCTGTCCTCCAGTTCTCCATTTCCTAATTGTACTTGGTAGAATTTATAATCGTTTGTTTTAATGATTTCTCTGTAAGCCCCAGGAAGACGTGCTCTTCATAACTTATGGCTCTGGGTAGATGGCAACAGCTCTGACACCGACCCACTGCCTCGGGCTCAGCATCAGCTCCCTTGATGGTAACAGCAAACAGTGTTTAGTGCTCATCATGTGTAAAGTACTTTCCATATATGACCAAGCTCAGTGCCTTCGAGACCTAACGAGGCAGGTGTGAGTATTGTGCCCATTTCACAGACAAGGAGACGGAGGCTGAGCGAGATGAATGCTGTGCCTTGGCTACAGCCCCCAACACGGTGTGCTGTTGCACACCACCTGTCCCTGCGGCTGGGGTCCCCGTGACCCTTGGGTGTCTCCTATGTGAGCACTGCATTCAGGAAATCAAACTATGGGGCCAGTGCAAGCAACTGTGGGGAAAGGGATACTTTCAGGGGAAATGGGGGGTCTGGGCTCTCTCTGTACAGGCTCCACCCCTCGGAGACCCCTCAGAGACTCCACTGACCCCCTCCTGGTCTGCAGAGCAGACCTCAGGTGCTTCCAAGGGGAGAGGATCAGCCCCCCGCGCCACCCCCCCGTGCTGCTGGTGGAAGGAGGGTGGTGGGTGTAGACTGTTCACCGTGCTCTGGGAGGGTGCCGCTGCGCATCAGGAGCGGGACCTTCTCTGCCTTCGGGCTCCCGTGGCCTAGATCACTCTCTGAGGGACACATCTTGAGAAATCATCGGAGGCAAGGACGGTGACTTCCATGAAGCTGTTCACCCAGACTTACCTCCCTGAACCCATGCCAGCCCCGGGGAGCTGGGGATTCTTTGCGCTAGCCTCTCTGCTTTTGTATGCTTTGCATTTTTCTGTCATGAAGATTAAAAATGGAAGGGAGGGAGGGAGGGAGGGAGGAAGGTAGGGAAAATACAACTCCATTTTTTTAATTAAACAAACTATATATGAGGATGTACACCAAAATGTTAACAATGGTTCTCTCCTGGAATTATGGATCATTTTCTTTTTCTCCATTTATACTTTTTATGTTTCTAGTTGGTGGGGAAACACCCACAGCCATTAAGGGAAGAAAGAAAAGGAATGCCTTGGGTTCTAGACTCCTTTCCACCCACCCGCTGCTCTCTGACTCTGCTCCGGTCACATCGCACAGCCTCGCTGAGCCTCCTCTCTCCTGGCAAAATGCGGGGGTGAAGGCTGTGGCCAGACCAGAGGGGCTGGTGCCTGAGGATGTACCCGGTGGTGCCAGTCCCTGTGGACTTGTCCCCCCCAACACACGCAGGCACCCAGAGACCAGGCACTAGGCCCTTGTATACCTGCAGGCCTGCTCAGGGGACACGCAGACCCAGAAGGACGGCCAGGCTTCCTGCACCCCCACCACACACTCCCCCATACACCAAGACCCTCATGCCCAAGCACACAAACACAGCACATGGGGTGCCCGTGAGCGTACACAGCGCTGTAACCTGCGTGGGGCGGCCCATCAGCCCACAGGGTGGGTGAGAGGGGGGAGCCGAGTCCTCTCCAAGATAAACACAGGAAGCGAGGATCCCACAGTGTCAGGGTGAGGTTGGGAGCCATCCATAAACTCCGGGCGGAGGTGGGGGGTGGGAGAGAGGGAGAGGGGCCCAGAGCTGGGAGGGAGAGTGTGGGAGTCTGGGCAGGGGCCCCAGTTTGACAGCCGCTGTCTTAGGTTCAAATGTGAAAAGTTGAAGCCGTGACTAAGCTTGGGGGCCGTCTCAGCTCTGTCTGTCTGTCTGTCTGGGATAGCGCCTCCCACCCCCCCACCTCACCTCTCGCTCCCCGGCCCTGAGCTGAGTGGACCATGTGTCCAGACCAGTTGGAGGCCCGAGGGCCCCCCGCTGAGCCCCCCACCCCCAGCGCTGGGGAAGCCGGAGCCTTTGCTCAGCAGAAGTTTGGTAAATGAATGAGTGCATGGAAAGAAACAGTCATTTCAGATTCCG